CGGTGATGGCGACATGGCGGTTTGGGACTTCACCTCAGCGCGGCCGCCGCCCAGGCGCCGCTGCGCCCGGCTGCTCAGCCACCTACCGGATGGCGGGGTGGCCCTTACGGCCCTCACGCCCGTTCGGTCTGCGGCCACGTTGTGGGGTGGCGGTCGCGGTGTAAGCGGCGTTGGACTTCGTCCTTTATCCAGACTGCACCGTACCATCTGAACGGATGGATCTGCCAAGAAAGATGACATCCAAGGCGGCTATGAGGCGATCACAAAGCTTCACCAAGAGCTTCTCCTTCATGGGGCCGGCCGGCCGTTAAGTCGCAACACCGGCTGCCGAGTGCCAACAGCTGCGTGCGCTGGCGCCGACGCGTTGTGGGCCGCGCTGCTGACGCCCAAGCTGCGATATCAACCATCTATGAATAAGTGGCAGCGGTGGCGGCTTGTCAGTTGTTAACGTGCCTTAACAGACGTTGCGAATAGCCCGCGTTGGAATCGCATGGTTGGGAACACAACGCAAGTAAAAATGGGCTTCCTTAATGAACCTACTTTTTAAGCATTGTAGCCTTTGTAATTTTGGATGTTTTGCTGTAGATATTATTTTCTACATATATTCTTTATAGGCACTCACGTGCTTTAAATCGCGCAATGCAATTGAACCATGGTAAAGACAATGATAAATGAACTGAGAGCTGACATGCCCCATGCTTTGTGTGTGTATGTGTGTGTGTGTGTGTGTTTTTTTTTTTTTTGGCGAGTCGATAAAAGTGGTTTTGGACACTGGATGAGTTTTTAGGGGTGTGGTGAGGGGGGATGTAATTCCACAGACCTTCTGTCAGATTCACTAATGCAGTAGGTCTGTGCGGTGTTTAGTTATCGGAGCATTCTTTGAAAGTCGTGAATAGGGCCACCGAGTACCTAAAGCCGTGATATTCCCCCACAAAAACTTCTTTTAAATAACCGGGGATAGGTACATGAGCAGAGTAAATGCTATTACGAACGCCTGTCACAATGCTGAGCGAATAGGAAAATCCATAGATGGAGAATTGTGCCGCGTTACGGGTGCTCGGGCGCAGCCAATCCACCGTTACCCCAGCGGTGACCTTGACCCGCATCGTCTGTCTCGGCTCCAAAGCCAAACCGGCGTGGAATTGGGAGCGTTCGAGCACTCATGGTCCAGCGCAATTCTCCACCTAAATCCATTCCTGATACACATTTGCTTGCTCATAGTCATGTAACCCCGGTAAATTCACCCAACTTTCATATTGGTCGCTCCATAGACAGATGGCCACAGAGATCAACTTAAAAGGCCACTGTTGCATTCATTTAGTGGAGATCATTAAAGGTAGTGTGCCACCTTTGAAAGATTTCCCGTTTTATTTTTCCTAGGATAAGAAGCTTCTGTTTTTACCTAATATCGCAAAAAAATCAAAAATGGGCCTGGAATAGTGCCTTTTTCGCCTAAAAGTTTATCGGTTTTTAGATATGTATAACAACTGTAGTGGGCTCACCTGCAAACAGGCGTCGGGCAACAATCGCGAATGCGGCGCACTTGTGACAATAAGCAAAGGTCATTATAGTGTTACGACCATACGACGTACGGGAATGAGTTATCAGCTGTCTAATCGTAGACAACACAATGTCGAGCCTTAAGCTGTAAGCCTGTATTGGTATTGTTTCTGAAATTTGGCTGTCGAACATTAATTTGTGGTTTGAAATATGATTTTATGTAAAATAATTGATATGAAACAGCCGTCTCTTAAGTTATGACCCCATTACACCACACGCAAGTGGCAGAAATGACAATGATCAGCTGACGCATTTTTCTTGGCCGAAGTCAGAGCGCGCGGCCCGACGCACCACGCGTATTTGGAAATTCCGACCTCGACGAGCATCAGAAGCCACCTAACAGGCGTGTTCGAAACCGCAGGAGATGATGATGAACGGGTTTATCGAAACTTGATTGGATGAGCCTATCGGTAATAGCGATTTTAGTGTGTGCATTTATTGTTCATAGTGGTGTGAAATGTGGTTGGGGTACGACCGACAACCCGTCGGGGCGAATTTCGCACTGGGGTACTCAAAATTTGAAGAATTTAAGACGTTTCCATAAGTTTTGAAGGTATGGATAAGTTCTAAAAATCCGGTTCTCCTTATCCGGGTCATTAACTCCATATGGTCCAAGAAAGCTGGCACACTACCTTTAAAGAGCCGTGACAGGCCACAAGTCGCGTGACATCATACGTGTAACGACCAATGACGTCGGCCTGCAAAACCCAATGGAAGCGGCTAGCAGCGTGCAATAAAACAGGGCGCTGCTTTCTAAATGTCTGTCGTGCGCCATAAATGAATATATTCTTTGTAGCCTGGCAACTCAGTATCTTTTTTTAACCCAAGAACGCCTAGGGGGGGGGTTGTATCAACCCCCCCCCTGAGGTTTTTTCGAAGTGCACGCTAAACGGCTTGTCGTAGCGGGCTGAAATTTTCAATACCCTCTGGGGCAACCTTTGCGCATCTTTTGCCAAAAAAAAAATTGATCGGGTCATGTCAGGTCACGGAGTTATGACGTCATAAGAGGTACAGCCTCCGGCCGACAGTTACCAAACGTGTGCGCCGAATCCCTAGGTTTTCTGCCGGTGATACCCACATTGTTTGATGGATCATGATGAAACTTCCCATGCATGTTGGGGCAAGCATTGGCTATCGTGTGGTGCAAGAAAATTGACCGGGTCAGGTCAGGTCACGGAGTTATGACGTCATAAGAGGTACAGCCTCCGGCCGGATTTTCACGAAGTGTGTATGCCTTTTCGGGGTATTTTGATGCCCTGAATTCGAATTTGCTATCCATTTCAGGCATCGTCGGTTGTTTCTTGTAATTCATTTTGGGTCAGGGTCAGGTCAGTGACGTCACACGCCTGACGTGACCCAATGCACAAATGACCTTGCAGACTTCCGATGCTCCCAACGCATCATTTTTAGTGTTATGACATCGAAATTCACACCAAACGATAGAGAATTGATCAAGGATCACGATAGTGAGGGTTTCAAGTCGATATCTCTTACCGTTTTGCCGCAATCGGCGCGGAAATCTGAAAAGTTAGATTTTTCTGAAAATTTGACCTTTGACCGGTCATAAGTAGGTCAAATGTTGGCCTAGGACCAAAAAATATACCACCAATCGCGAGATCTCGTTGAGAGCAATCCGTTGGTTTTTTTCCGCTAAGCTCTACGACCTTCCGTTTCGAAACGCCAGGGGGGGGGGTCGTAACAACCCCCCCCCCTGGTCGTTCGTGTTATGAGAAATGGCCTGGTCGTGCGAGGGTTAACTATTGTACTAGTATTCAATAATTTCATAATTTTATAATTGTGCTTACGCTTTATGTTGATATTAGTGATAAATCCTTAGATAAAGTAAATCGATGTGATATTTAATAGAAAAATAGCAAACTAACGCACCATTCATTCGAAAGCTGGGGTACCTACTAAAAAGAACTACTAAAATTCCTGAGGAACCAAAGGATCAAATGGGGATTAAATAGATGCCTGCTATTCCGTCGTGAAAACGGCCGATGTGGAGTTTGTTAATGTAATAGGTAAGTGAATAAGGACTTTACTCCAAGAGAAATCGTTCGGGTCGGAGCTTTCGAATTGTATTACAAAACTTCGTCAGCGAGTCGTAATCGGGTTCGAGGGGTATCGGTCGCAAAATTCAGGACTAATTCAATTCGAAGATACAATTCGAATACAATTCGAAGATACAATTCGAAAGCTCCGACCCGAACGATTTCTTGTGGAGTAAAGTCCTTATTCACTTACCTATTACATCAAAATTACACTTACTGATGGTGCTTTATACTTGTTTTATAAGCTCCTTAAATTTCCTATCGTCTGCAACACAATATTTCGGCTCGAAGTCGAATTGTAATATCGTGTCCTTATGTCTTTCCTTGTATATGTAGCTGCATTTTTGAAAGTCATATAACTTACTCTACTCCGTTTCAAGCTCTTAAGGACATGATGTGGAGTTTGTTAATGTAATAGGTAAGTGAATAAGGACTTTACTCCACAAGAAATCGTTCGGGTCGACCCGAACGATTTCTTGTGGAGTAAAGTCCTTATTCACTTACCTATTACCGTTTCAAGCTTGCAGCCGAAGTGCCCTGCTGAAAGCAGTGCGTGATTTCTGTAGGATATACAGCTCTTACATTTCAAAACGCAAATTCTTGAGCGGAGGAGCGATCTGCCGATCTGCCGAAGAAACTCCGACTGCAATCTTGATATGGAACAGACTAAAAATCAAGACTAAAAATAGCGTCAAACAAAGAAGCATCGCACTGACTTTCAGTTTATGATGAAATATTTTCATATAATGCTCCAAAGATGTTTAGGAAGAAAAACAAAAGCGTCCGTTTTCGGGACCTACCGGTATTTATGTATGTAGATAAAAGCATGCCATGTAGAAAATATTTGTTTTGACGGTCGTTGTCCGCTGGCTGGGAAAACTTGGTTCAATGTAATGTGAATCGCTCATGAATGCACAATACAATACAATATAATGCAATGCCAGCTCTAACCGTCGCCGGCCGCGCGAGGGGTGCGGGTGGATGCCGCCCCCATAGGATATTTTTCGCAATAGCTCAGAACACACCGGGATAGAGCTGAAACTTCTCCAGGCCAGATCTTGTGACACCAACTGAATTTTCAGGTCAGGTCAGGTCACTGACCTATGACGTCATCAGACAACCTCACTACCCCCGATGTCGCAACTTCGTCGCAATTTAATTTTTAGCAATTATTATTATCAGTTTTCGTAATGACGTAATGTTTATCAATGTTGCGGCATTTGTGTTGTGCTCAACTGCTCAGAGTATGTATGATGTGATGAGTACCACTGTTTTTCGTTGTTGCTCGATACCGATCCTTTTGGAACTGTAATAGCCCCAAGTCGATTGGGAAAGTCCCGAAACAATGTGAATACAACTTCGCAACGCCCTCACTGTCAGAGAGGTTCGACCACAGGACACCATACCGCACGTCGGTTCAGCAAACACAACATACAAGCATCATTCTAGGCACTGAGAGTAGGTGGCACGAATTCCGAATTTTAAGTTTATTGCAAGTATCAAGGAGCAAAATCATCTGAATTCATCTGGCTTCTCGAATGTATATAACACCACACCAAAAGTGTGTGTATATAGCTCGACCAAATGGAACACGTCAGCGCCCAACCGAGCAGTCTGTCCGTGAGGCGGAAGCCAAGGTCGGACATACGGGGCGGGCCGCGTATAAAAGCGGCGGACGGCGGGTGGATATCACACACTCACTGATCTACTCTCCCAGCAGCCGGTGGAACTACAAGCCGCAGAGATGAACGCCAAGCTTGCGGTAAGTTTTGGATATATATCTTTACGCCAACTTATAAAACATTTTGTGACTTCATTTTTACATCACATGCATGAAAAGTTAACCACCTATAAGCGGTTGCTATTACATGGCTTACTCACAAAACAAACAACGATAACAGAAAGTTTGCTTTACTTTTTATGACAAGTCAATGGATGATATGAGTAGCATTTTTCCTCATGAGTGTTTTCTTCTCCACAGCTGCTGTGTCTGGCTGCCCTGGTGGCTGTTGTCTCTGCTGGCGGACACGGATACGGATACGGATATTCCGGATACCGCTCCGCCCCTGCCCACTACGGCGGATACCGGCGTGCCGGATACGGCTACGGCGGCTACGGCAGCTACGGCAGCTACGCCCCCCGTAGCTACGGCTACCACGGCCGCCACCGCCGCTCTCTGGGCTACAACTCCTACGGATACGGATACGCTCCCCGCAGCTACGGATACGGACACACCGGATACGGATACGCTCCCCGTAGCTACGGATACGCCTCCCGCTCGTACGGATACGCTCCCCGTTCCTACGGATACGGATACCGCTCCGGCTACTACCACTAAGTTTTGTGTTAACCATGCTGTGTGTGTTTGTCATTTAAGTTCATCTCTCGCTCAATAAACAAAATTGAATTTCATTTGTAGTTGCTTTGAATCTGTGCAACGAAAGGGAAGCTGAACTTGCGTGCATTCAGGCTTCACAATAATAATGGTTGAATCTTTATGCATATCAAGTTTATTTCTAAAGTTTCTCTTCTTTCTGCTTTTCTGCTTAGATAGCTTTACTGAAATTAGGCACTGTAAAGGGAGTAAAAAGTGATTTTGACATATTATCCTTATTAAATAGATTGAAAATGGTGGGTTAATTGAGCATGGTATCTGTAACAACACATCACACTTTGAGGTTTACCCTCGCGGGCCCGGGGGGGGGGCGTTTTTCGCCCCCCCCTGGCGAATACTTGCGATAGCTCCCGAACACTTAGGGATAGGAAAGCGAAACTTTCAGTACCTTTTCTCCCATCAATTTGACATCTTCTGAAGTAACAAGTTTGGACCTAGCCCCCTTGATGACGTCACAAGGTCCATTTTACTAGACTCCTGCACGGCAAACTTCGGCGTCACAGACTCAAACTTCAAATAGCTGCTAAAAATAGGAGTTTTAGAGATAAAGACAAATTACGAGCACGGCTGTGTAGCGTTTGATCTAGAGAAAAAGAGAAAAATAGTTTTGGTGACCTGAGGTCAGAGGTCAGGTCAGCGACCCCGAAATGTGGTTTTATTTTTTTTCGCAAATAACTTCGACAAAAATGGTCCTAGAGCTACGGCAGTGGTACCATCGCATTCGCCTTGTCAAGCCGCGTCGAATGATATATATTTTGTTCGGAAAAGGTCAAGTTTTATGTTGACTGACCCTACGCATAGATGATGACACATCCAACACATATCAACGATAAAAACGACGCTGAAGAAAAATGATAAGGCATAAGCGTTGGGATATAAGTACCCGGAGTTCCTGAAAAGGTAAAATGATTTAAATTTCGTACAGTCTGCAAACCGGGAAACATAAAAATACGAAACCCTCACCATACAATAGAATACTCAGTGCGAATTTAGTGGCGTGCTACTCTTGTTGGTGTTGCATGCTCGGTGCCGTCCGCACAACACATTTGCCATGGGGCTATACCAAAACGCTCCAGACAAAAAAGATGGGCGTTGCGTCAATCGTGCCACCGAAGCGCGGCACCGCTTCGCTGCACCGCTCTGGTCGCATGCCCCCAGCCGCCCCCTAACTATGAATCATTCAGCTCATTCATGGTCTTCCCCTTCATTCGGTACACTTGAACCTTGACATGTAGCTAAAAATTAACCCACGCCCCGTTGAGGTCTGGCAAGTCTCACGTCCTGGGGGGGGGGGGGCAAAGGACCCCCCGTCGTATCTCCGGAACCAATAGCCGGATCGAAAAAATCAAAGGGCATTTGAAGAGCTCATCGAGATGCACAAGATAACATATCAATGGGCTTGATATTTTACCAGTGACGTCACAGGAAGGTCAAATAAGGTCAAATCAGACCAATTTACAATGACGAGAACTCGTTGATAAAAAATAAATTCATGTAGGTTTACAAAATGAGTTTGGATATGATTATGATGTACATATATGATAAATCTGGCATGTGGATAGTCACCTGAATGGAAGATGGCCTGTGACGTCACAACATATGTCAGCCTAGACCAAATTAGAAAACACTTGTAACATGTGAATCGTAAGTAAAGGCACGCTACATTTTGAATATTCGAGTCTTTATGAAGACTTATCATACGTATGCAGCTACAAAAATCTTTTTGACGATTTTTCTTGGGCCTATGACGTCATACAGGTAGGTAAGATCAAATTGCACCGGTTCACAACGAAAAACAATATTGTACGTAGAAGTGACTTTTATCACGCCTAAAAGATCATATTCAGTCCGGAAAAGGTTGATAAAATATCTTAACTATTAATCCTGGCTGATTCCAAGCACAACTATGCTGAAAATAATGTGACGTCATAAGAACAGCCGCCACTTTTTGTCATTCAAATGGCTAGATCTCTGGCAGTTTTAGAGATAGTTGGTTAATTTTTGGCGTGTTAGGCTTGTAAGGGGTTCTCTGACATGTGTTCGTTTTTTTTTTGAAAAAGAAAAATTCCCAGAATCTAAAAACATCTCAACTAATCTAAATATTCAGTTACAATATTCCTAGACCTTGAATGTTTTATATTTTGAAAAATGTGCTCTAATTTTTCAGTCTTTAGGTTGAATGGTTTTCTACGATGCTTCTCCGTGAACAACTTTTTCGACGAAAATCGCCGAACATGACCTCAGTTTGACCTCTATAGCTCGTGACCTGAGATGATCTGGGCCTTTTTTCAGGAATTGTGTAAGACTGATGACCGGAAAGGTATTGAAAGTTTCAAAGCCAAAGTTCCCAGCCGTTTCTGAGTTATCTGCGAAAAACCAGGGGGCCTTTTGCCCCCTCTCCCCAACGGATCGCGGGTTAAGAAATCTAGGGCTTGAAATTCGGATAACGCGCGGATCATGAGTTCACAATCGCATCTAGCCTAGAGAGCAGCCGCTCCCCCGAAGTGCGTCGCAGCCAGTAACGGGCTGCGGTTGCAGTTTGAGCGGCAGCTCCGTCCTGCTGCATCCACTGACTCTCTATCACCCGGACATAACCTCAAAGTGCCTTCTTTAGATTCTCCCAAAAATTGAGCAGCACTGTTATGTGCCACTGGGCGTTCATTGTCTCACTCACCTAGTCTAATCTAGTTTACAGTATACAATATTAAGCCCGAAGTGTGTGTGCCCATACAGCTCGACCAAAAAGAACACGTCATCGTTCAACCGGGTAGCCTGTCCGTGAGGCGGAAGCCAAGGTCGGACATACGGGGCGGGCCGCGTATAAAAGCGCCGGACAGCGGGTGGATATCACACACTCACTGATCTACTCTCCCAGCAGTCGGAGGAACTACAAGCCGCAGAGATGAACGCCAAGCTTGCGGTAAGTTTTGGAAATATATATATTTTTTTTTTTGCTCTGACTGTTAACCCGCGCGGGGCTGGGGTCTCCAGCCGAACGCGCGGGGCTGGGGGGGGGGGGTAAATTTTACCCCCCTGTTATCTCCCGAACTAATGGTCCGATTTGGAAAATTCAAACGCCAATCGAAAGCTCTCATCACGAACTACTAAAAACATGTACTTAATTTAAAGTTTGAGGTCAAGGTCAAGGTCAGGTCAAGGGTACAAATTGCAAGTTTCTACAGTATCGGCCTTGCACCGTAGTTGCCGAAGAATGGAGTCATGGACTGAGACTGATCGCCCAAAACGTGTTCTTAGGCTACCAAGACAATATTCGTTGCATACAATATCCTTCAGAGGTCAAGGTCAAGGTCAGGTCAGGTCAGGTCAGGTCACCAAAAACAAAATATAGAAAAGGGCATGTGCGACACATGTTTTATGGGTCATTTTACTCATAGAATTCAATAGGCACACTCAATAAGTGATATGGACCACCTCTGGATGAATTTCAGGTCGAGGTCAGGTCAAGGTCAGGTCAAGTGAGGTCAAATTTTGAAGTTGGTTGTTAAGGCCTAAAAAGGTGTCTATCTGATGCAGTTTTTCACGGCGAATCGAATGGTGCTATTTTTGTTTCCGTACGAGGTCTAGAACTTCAAAAAAAGTCATTTTTCAAAAATTTTGTGTGTCGTGGCGTCATAAAATTTTGAATAACTCCCACATTTTTGAACTGATTCTTCTAAAATTTGGTATGTAGGTGCACATAGACCACTCCTCTGACATATATTCCGGTTTTTGCGATAGCCTCAAAATTTTGGATTTTATAATGATTTTTCAAAAAAAGTCAGTTTTTTGAAAAAATTTAGGCCAAAATCCAAAATTTTCAAAAAACCGAGATAGCAATTTGATAGACAAAGTAAAATGACGTGTAAACTTTTTTGGTACGTCTTGATTCCTTTAAAAATGAAGATGTTAGCGGCGTTTGAACTTTTGCCGTTTTTGAGGCGAAAATGGCGAACATGACGTCACTAAAACGTCAATTTCTCAAAAATTTTCCGACGGATTTCGCTCAAATTTTCAGGGATCGTGTCAAATTGATGTAAGAAAAGGTACTGAAAGTTTGGCGGCGCTGCGCGCCGCCGTTTTTGAGATATCGCAAATATTCGCGAGGGGGGGTAAAATTTACCCCCCCCCAGCCCCGCGCGGGTTAAAACATGTTGCGATTTCATTTTCACAGCACTCATCGAGAAGGGTGAGGCACAAATAAACTTTAAGCTTATCAGTTGCTTTAACACCACTTAGGCATAGAAACAAGAAACATGAGTGAAAGTCTGCTGTTCTTCTTACATCCTGGCAAAGAATGACACGCGTACGATTTTTCCTGATGAATGTTTTCTTCATTGCAGCTGCTGTGTCTGGCTGCCCTGGTGGCTGTTGTCTCTGCTAGCGGACACGGATACGGATACGGATACTCCGGATACCGCTCCGCCCCTACCCACTACGGTGGATATCGGCGTGCTGGATACGGCTACGGCAGCTACGGCGGCTACGGCAGCTACGCCCCCCGTAGCTACGGCTACCACGGCCGCCACCGCCGCTCTCTGGGCTACAACTCCTACGGATACGGATACGCTCCACGCAGCTACGGATACGGACACACCGGATACGGATACGCTCCCCGTAGCTACGGATACGCCTCTCGCTCGTACGGATACGCACCCCGGTCTTACGGATATGGTTACCGCTCTGGGTACTACCACTAAATGTCATATCACCAAATGTTCCTTTTCACAGCAAGTGCTTCATGCTATGGTGTGATCAACCTCTCGCTCAATAAACGAAATTGATCTTTAATATGGAGAATCTTTTGTCCGTTTGATGCCTCTACAAAACTGTTTAGGCCTGCTTCGAGAGTATAATCCATATTTTCCTCTTTTTACACAGCCTCACTAGTGATCTCACCGCCATCTCCTGCGGAACCTTGGCGACTACCCTGCCCTCTTTGGATGGTGCCTGACTAGCAAATACCGCAGCTCAGGTCCGTTGATGAAGGAAACAGACATGCTGGAAAGCTTCGGCCAATAAAAGAAATCAGTGATGAAGTCAGTCGCCAACATACTTTTCTATATCTATGAATAATGTTGTCACTAGCGCTAAGGCAAAGCGGGTTCACACCGGATTCCGGGCCGGCAAAATTCCGTCTGCCGGGCCGGAAAAATGGCCAATTCCGTGCCGGAAAATTGAAAACTGGTGTGAACCGGCAAATCTGGCAACTTCTTTTGACCGGTCCGGCAGGCCGGAGAGCCAGATTTTCCGGTCCGGCAAGAAGTTGAAATCATCTCAACTTTTGTCTTGCCGGATAGCCACCGTTTGTGATATGAAATTAAGGCACGAGGGAAATAATGTTATGTTTCAGCGCTACAGGCCCAATTTAACCAACGGTGCCCTTAAAGTCTCGCGATTTTTCACGAGAATATAAAATTCAAGCGTAAATTTGACGGCGTTTCATTTTTACTTCAAAACATTTGCATCTCAAACGGAGTGATAGCTACACTTCTATTTTTGTATTTCACATGACTCATGGCCTTTTCAAATTATAAACTAATTTCATTGCAGGGCCTCGTCTAAGGAATTTTCACTGGGGGGGCCAGAGACTGAAGGAGCCAAACCTAGGGTACCCCCAAATCCTGCTTTCTCGCCGGATTTAGACCACTTATTTTTCAGCACAGCCCTGACACCATGAATATTTTTTTTTTTTGAAAACTAAAAAAATAGTAGGCCATCCGACCCATGCTTGTATACCTATTAGTTTATAGCCTCCCCACATTGCCCCATCAGGCAATAATAATCACACTTCTCGTTGTTGAGCGTGTGATTGAGTGGCAGTGCCTTGTCTAAGGAATTTGCATGCCGAGCCTTATGTCGAGGGCCCACACGCACATGTATTTTTTTTTGCGAACCACATCGGTTTCAGATGGGCCCCTCTGAGCGCTCGATGCCGATCTCTGAGGGCTAATGCCAACGTCTGGACCTATACTTCGGCCTCTATGGTAGCCCACACTGGTTTTATATGATCCATACTAGGCTTTAATGGTCAATCTGAGTGGAGACCGTATTTTCCCACTAGGGCCCCCTCAGACCAGATGCCTGTGTATCAACTTGGAGACTGATGGCTTCTCAGGTGGATTCTCCGTAATCGCCGTGGATCTTCAACACAACCTTAAGGTCGTCAGAGGCTATAAACTAAACAAAAATGAAGATTACCCCGTGTAGTAGTGCTTTGAGGCCCGTTGGGACCCTAAGTGGCTGGCATTTGCCCCCCAGGACTCCATGCCGACTTCTTTAGATAACCCAGCTGTCAGAGTTCCCGTCCCCACAGACAGACCACCAATCTGGCATCTGCGCCTGCGTACTTACGACCACCCAGAATGGGAGCCTGCTTCATTACGATTAGGAGCTACTCTAGCCGCACACCGGTGACCGTCCAGCCAGAAGTTGGACTCCGCATAGCGAAGACGACGATAGGCAAAAACAAGAGATTGACGCCTCGAGGACAGAAACAATTCAGATTGATACCTAAAGGAGAAATTGTTGCCGGTAGAGCCTTGGACAGGGCTGCGGAGTCGGAGTCGGAGTCGGAGTCGGTCGGAGTCGACAGTTGTGACCGGAGTCGGAGTCGGAGTCGGAGTCGATTTTAGAAACCCGAGCCGGAGTCGGAGTCACCGAAAATCTGTCGACTCCGCAGCCCTGCTAGGTCTGCGGAGTCGGAGTCGGGAGTTGGAGTCGGTCGGAGTCGACAATTCTGCCCGGAGTCGGAGTCGGAATCGGAGCTGGTTTTTGAAAACCGGAGTCGGAGTCGGAGTCGGAGTCGCCGAAAATCCATCGACTCCGCAGCCCTGGCCTTGGACTCCACGTGGTGAGGGCACGCGTCTCGGTTATGACAGTCCGGGTTCGAAGCGCGACATCGGCACATGCTCGATCTTTATGAGCCTCCTGGCGAGTACATGGTTACGGTTGGTGGCAGGCCGTAGCCATTCGAAGTCAGTGAGGGGACCGGCCGTGTGCGGCTACGTGCATACGTTAAACTTTGGGCTCTAAATTCTGCCATAGATCACGAATTGCGCGATCGGAGGGTAGAGGGCAGGGCCAACGCAAAGCTCTGCTTAGCGGGGGCTCTGTACTTGTGAATCCTTCCATTCAAAAGGTTCGGACTAAATTTATGAAAAAATAATATCCGGGACACGGAGTTGGGCGCCTGAAAAGACGAAATGTAACGCATTGCTGAGCGAAAAAATGGTTCAGGTAAACAAAATAAACACATAACAGCCCTAGGTAATGAGGTATTTCAATGTGCTCACATTGCATCGTTTCGTTTACGTATTTGTTTTTATGTGCACTGACGCCTCGAAATAAAAATTCGTTTGCCTTTTGGCTATTGCCGGCCCCCCCAGTAGTGACTTTTTGCCCTGACTGGGGGGGCCAGGTCGATGACTGCGGGGGTTTGGCCCCCCCAGTTAACATGTTAGACGAGGCCTTGTTTCATTGGTTAGAAAATATCCATGACTTTATAATAAAAAAGATAAATATTATAAGGAAAGGAAGCGGTGAAAAGGGCGAATTTGTGGAACAACATTGCGGACGCGCTGGTTGTAGAAGGAGCGGAGCCAGTATCTGCAGAAGAGATTAGCAAGCGCTGGAGCCGGCCGCAGGACAGGTAGCACAATGTACATACATACGTATTGCTAACTTACGTCGTCTGCGAAGTGGAGCCAGCCGAGCAGATTCTGAAATCTACATTCTACAAGACGCGCTGACAACACTTCTCTGCCCTCGATGCCCTCCTACACAAGCACATAGCGCTCTCGGGAGGGTGGAGGCAGTTCTGCCATTCAATCGCAAGTAGAAGATTCAGGAAATGCGATGGTACTGAATGCCAAGGATATTATCCCGCGTCCTGCTGGGGGTGGGGAGGGGGGTATTTGAACCCTCCCTGTGGGTTTTCACGAATATCTCAAAAACGGCGGCTGTTTTTGGCACACCTTATCATGCATCTTTTTTGCATATGTTGTAAAAATTGTAGACCAAGGTCACTTAAGGTCAGGTCACCAGGTCACTTCAAGCGACCTAACCTCATACAAAGTTTCAACGTCTTCCATAGCTACATCGAGCGACCGACCTTTTTGAAACTCTCAGCGACTGATAAGGGCAACAATATGTACACAATTTAAATAAATAACTATCTCAGAATTTTGATATCGGTGACCTAAGGTCGGGTCAATTTTGTGACCTCCCCATTATAAGTCAATGGGAGAAAATCATGCCAAGTTATGCGTTGGCTTGTTGCAAATCGTCGACATTCGACCTGAAAATCGGTGAAATTCGGCTTTCCATGGCCTCTGGTGACCTGATCTTTGATTTGACCAAAAAAGTGACCGAATTAATTTCGTCATTATTTTTGACACTCTTTCGAACGCCGCCTTCCCCGTATCGCTACGTGGCCCAGGAGCCGAGTTAGAAGGAGGGGGGGGGGGAGTGTTAAACACCTCCCAGCAAGGCGTGGAAATTTAGGACCCCCAGCGGGGCGCGGGTTATGGCGGTAGAGTTCAGTGACAGTCAGATGACCGATTTTGAGACCCAGCCATCTACATCAGCAAGCGTAATATCAAGCTCGCCGTCTCTAATGCGCCCTGCCCAGCACTCGATCCCTCTTTGTTCACAAGTGTTTTTAAACCAACAACAGCCAAAGCGCGATTGAAATTTATTAGTGTCTTTTAGTCGATACCTAGCCCGCATGCTGTAAATGTTAAATTGTATTAATGCTGCTAATATACCTACCAGTGAAGGATGGATGATTTTCGGTTGGATGGAACTGCATCAGGGACTTGTAAACTTAAAGCCGTCACACAAGTATGTTCGATTTCAAAGTAATTCGCGAGATTGCTTGGTACCTACTTATCGTGCTTAGAATGACATTTCCGGTTCGACTTTCCGGTTTTTCGGTTCTAGCGACTTTTTTACATCTAGCGACAATTTCAACATTTTGGTGCCGGCCCGGCAGACGGAATTTTTCCGGACCGGAAAACCGGTGTGAACCCGGCTTAAGACTCCGCTCGCTTCGCTCGCTCCGTAAAAAGACTCGCTTTGCTCGCTGCGCTCGCTCGCTAGTAATCACATTGGACCACCCAGCTCTTTAATTCCATCTGACTTTCTGTGTTCCAGACTCAGAGCAGGATGACGGCGGAGATGCCGGTGGCGAGGAGCGGCGCGGCCCAGACGAGGAGCAGACAGTGGAGGGTCTGCCTCGCCCTCAGCGAGAGAAATGGCAGCAGCTGGAGCGACAGCACCAGCAGCTGTGGCAGGAGCTGGACCGGCGGGGCTACGAGAAGAAGAAGAGTCTCAACCAGCGGCATGATGAGGAGTGCCGGAGTCTGGAGCGACGTCATGACAAAAAGTGGCGGATCATGGAAATGCGACACCATGACGAGCTGAAGAGGCTCCACCAACAACACGAGAGTGCTACCAGGTGCGTGGAGCTACAGAACCAGGGGCAGTCGCAGCAAGACAGACGCTAGCGGCACTTGGAACTTCTGAATAGGAGAAACCAAAGAAAGTCGGAAGAGCTTGAGCGACAGCACCAGATAGAATGGGGAGACCTGGCGCAGAAGGTCCAGAGGCAGTGGAACAAGATGAAGCGGAGACACCAAAGCGAGTCACAAGAGCTGGAGGAGAGATACCCGAACATCTGGACAGGGGAGGAGTTGGATCGGCTGCTGGAGGAGTGCAGCAGGAGGCGTCAGCAGCTGGGGGAGCAGTTGGGGAAGGAACTGGAGAGAGAACTGGAGAAGGAGCTGGAG